GTGGGGGGGGAAAGAAAATCATTCAGTCATAGAAAGGAAAGAAGTCCTAAAAAAAAATAATAATAATAATAAAAGAGAAAGGAAAGAAGTCCTGATGCATGCTATAGCATGGATGAGCCTTGAAAACATTATGTCAAGTGAAAGAAGCCAGTCACAAAAAGAACACAGACTGTGATTCCTCTTATATGAAAAGTCCAGAATAGCCAAATCTATGGAGACAGAAAATAGATTAATGGTTGTTTAGTGATTGTAGTAGGGTGGGGTTAGGGAGGTGATAATAAAGGAAACCAAGTTTCTTTATAAAGTAATGGAAATGCTCTAAAATGGTGATAGTAAAAGCCATTGAAATATACACTGTAAATGGGTAAAATATATGGTATATGAATTATATCTTGATAAGCTATTATTTAAATTTTTTTAAATTTAAATTCAACTTAGGGGGCGCCCGGGTGGCTCAGTTGGTTAAGCGACTGCCTTCGGCTCAGGTCATGATCCTGGAGTCCCGGGATCGAGTCCCACATCGGGCTCCCTGCTCGGCGGGGAGTCTGCTTCTCCCTCTGACCCTCTTCCCTCTCGTGCTCTCTATCTCTCATTCTCTCTCTCTCAAATAAATAAATAAAATCTTTAAAAAAATTTAAATTCAATTTAGTTAACATATAGTATATTATTAGTTTCAGGGGTAGAATTTAGTGATTTATCAGTTGCATATAACACGCAGTGCTCATTACACCAAATGCCCTCCTTAATGCCCATCACCCAGTTACCCTGGCTCCCCACCCACCTCCCCTTCAGCAATCCTCAGTTTGTTTCCTATAGTTAAGAGTCTCTCATGGTTTGCTTCCCTCTCTGTTTTTATCTTATTTTTCCCTCCCTTCCCCTATGTTCATCTGTTTTGTTTCTTAAACTCCACATGAGAGAAATCATTTGATATTTGTCTTAATCTGACTGGCTTGTTCCACTTAGCTTAATATCCTCTAGTTCTATCCATGTCATTGCAAATGACAAGATTTCATTCTTTTTGAGAGCTGTGTAACATTCCATTGTGTGTGTGTGTGTGTGTGTGTGTGTGTGTGTGTGTGTGTGTATCTCACATCTTCTTTATCCATTCATATGTCAGTAGACATCTGGGCTCTTTCCATAGTTTGGCTATTGTGGACATTGCTCCTATAAACATTGGGGAGGACGTGTCCCCTTGAATCCCTATGTTTGTATCCTTTGGATAAATTGCTGGATCATAGGGTAGCTCTATTTTTAACTTTTCGAAGAATCTCCATCCTGTTTTCCAGAGTGGCTGCACCAGTTTGCAGTCCCACCAACAGTGTAAGGGCATTCCCCTTTCTCTGCATCCTCACCAAATTAAGCCATCATTTTTTTTTTAAAAAGGGGTAGTTATCTTCTATAAATATAAGCTGAAATAGCTATAGATGACACATAAGATGTCTGGGATTTTCTATGGAACGGGGAGGAGAACAGAAGAGAAAAGACTGACCATAGGTTGATAATTGCTGAAGTTGGTTGCTTGGAGGATCATCATACTGTTCTCTCTACAGTTTGTATGTGTTTGACATTTTTCAAAAGAGGAAAAAAGAAGAATCCGATGCAATGTTCTGACTCGGAAAAGAGGGGACTGTTGGGGCACCTGAGTGTCTGACTTTGGCTCAGGTCATGATCTTGGGGGTCCAGCTGGGCTCCCTGCTCAGCGGGGAGTCTGCTTGTCCCTCTCCCTCTGCCCCTTCCTCACTTGTGCGTCTGTGCGCGTGCTCTCTCTTAAATAAATAAATAAAATATTTTAAGAAAAAGAAAGAGGTTAACCCTGTCAGGACCCTCACTCCTGACAGGAAGGAAGAAAGGAAGGAAGGAAGGAAGGAAGGAAGGAAGGAAGAAAGGCAGGAAGGCAGGAAGGAAGGAAGAAAAAAAGAAAGAAAAGAGGGGACTGCCACCTCCTTTGATAAGTTGTTATTTAGAGGCCCTCCCCAGAGCCCTCAGATCAGGGAGATGAATTATTGAGAGGAATCTGAGAGGCATGAAAGCCATGGAGTGTGGAGAGGCAGCAAGCACAGGGGCTGGTTTGGGCCAGGACAGCTCAGTGACCCCAGCCCTCACGGGCAACCCCCAGACCAGGCTGACTATAGTGGTGGAAGTAGAGCGAGGGAGAGGATCAGGTAAGAAGTCCTTACACATTCATTCTTAGAGGGAGTGCAGCCTGGGGGAGCCCCTTGGGAGAGGGGAAGGAGGTCATCTTACGGCTTTAGCTGCTGCAGATGCTGTTTGAGGAAGCTCTGCTTCTCAGGGGCTCTGATCCTGTGCATAGTACCCTAGGTTAGGAAACTGAGGCCAAAGTTGAGAGCAGGACCTAGGAGTCCTGGCAGTTTTCCCCATGAGAGTTGATATACAGCCCATCTTTCTTAGGCCCTGAGGAGACCTGTTGCCCCACACTCCTTCTGGAGGGGCCCAAGAGCATCTGCCTGCTTCAGCCGGGCACTCTAGACGCTCAGGTAAAAATGGGATGGGGTGTGGGTGAGGGCTGGGGAAGATGGGAATGACAATGCTGAGCCTAGCCCCCCCCCCCCCACAGGAACAATGCATCACCTTTGACAGAGTGCTGGGCTCTGATGCTGCTCAGGTAGGGGGGTTGTAGGGAGATGGGAGGAGCGTGGGAGTCCTTAGGCTCCTGGATCCTAGAGTGCTCAGTGCTCAGTGCTGAGTGCTTCCCAAGCCCTTTGCTCAGACAGACTGGGTCAGGGCACCTGAGATCAGGAGATGTCTGTGCGTCCCCTGCAGGAGGCTGAGCAGGAGCTGCTAGCACAAGTCCAGTCCACACTAGGCTTGGTGGCCCGAGGGTACAGTGTAGCCCTACTGCTTCGGGGTCGGGAAGCAGAGACACCCCGGCTCGTACCTCAGGTGAGTCCCAGAGGAGCCACCCGGCATAGGTTTCACGAGGCTCCTGGATACCTTTGAGAAACTTGCCTTCCCCTTCCTAGCTGGATTAGGTTCCCCTCCTTGGGGTTCCTATAGTGCACTGCAGTCCATACAGAATGTTTTGCCAGGACCAATTTGGGCAGTGATTAAGAGGCTGGGGAAGGTTGGAGGCTGGGGTCCAAGGGGGTGAGGGTCAGGGAGGGGTGGTGTGCAAAGATCAAATATCCAGGGAGTCTAATCTTCACAGTTTTTCATAATACTGATAATAAACTTGACAGTTTTGTTTTTAGGCTTCATGAAAATGCCCCCCAAATCAAAATAGCAGCTTCAGAAACTTGTCATAGGCCCCTGCCATAGGAAACAGCAGGTCTCACTGAAAATGTCTACTCATTTGACTGGCTCTCTGTGAACCATGAGGGCCGGGGCTATTTCTGTCCTGGACACTGTGCCCATAGCACAGAACTGGGTGAAGAACTGCACCCTCAGGAAATGTTGAAGTACAGATTCATCCTTTCTGCATCCCTATGGAACCCCTTTCTCCACTTTAGCTGTTGCAGATGCTGTTTGAGGAAGCTCTGCCCCACGGGGACCCTGATCCTGTGCTTATTACCCTTAGCCTGGTGCAGGTGAGACCCTGCAGGGAGGGGAGACCTGGGAGCCAAGGCCCTGGCAGTGCTGCAGAAAATGCCTGAGGCTAATGAGCAGCCAGAAAAGCTTGAGCCTGGCCTCATTCAGCTTCTCATCAGCGTAGGCTTGCCTCTCTGAGGCCTCCTTTTTCCTGCCTCAAATGGCTGAATTTTGGTGCCCTTGGTTGGCCCACAGGGCCCCAGTGGGAGGACCGTGTGAGCTGAAGTCCAGGAAAGACTCTGTTTGTAACCGGTGTTGTGCTTGCGTGATTCCAGCTCAGCCCCAGCGGGAGGACTCGGGACATGCTCTCTCCAGGGACAGAGAACCTGTCAGTGCTAGATGTGTCCCCCCTAGGCTTGTGAGTGTCCAGGGCCCAATGGGATCTGAGGGTGCTTGTCTTAAAGCAGGGTTGACACCCCAAACCCAGCCCTTGGAGGTTTCTCCCCACTGCCATGCACTTGGGGTCATGCTTATCACGCCCTCTCATCCTCTTCCCTGCATCCCATAACCCCAGCCCTCTCACTCTTCTTACCCTACCCGTCTATGCCTCTTCAACTCACTCATTATCATCCTGGGAGATGTGAGCGTCTCACTGAGCAGAACTTCAGGTTTTCCATCTGTAAAATGGGAGAAATCCCAACTAGCCTATTTCCCTCACTGGGCAGATGACAGGAGGGAAAAAGAGATCATGAAGATGAGAGGCTTTTAGGGGATGTACTGTGAGCTTGGAACCTTGGGGACGATTCTAACAGGCTCTTGGGATCGCAAATGGACTCCCCACGAAGAGGTTCTGGGGGGCTGGGCAGAACCCTGGTGCTCAACCCTTAAGAGTTGAGCTTAGGCTCCCCTTCCTCCAGGGTGGTAGAAAATGCCAGTGAAGTGGAGGTGTCTGACTCAAGATCTGCCTTGGAGCTGTACTTACAGGCTGCAGGGGATGAAGGCAGGTGAGGATGGGAGGGCACCTGTCACCTCCCACCATCCCTTAGGTGTTTGGCCTGATCTTACCCTCTCCTCCACAGGGCCTGCTCTCTGCTCACTGTCACCATGTCCTGCCCAGGGCCTGATCCTTCTGAGGAGCCTGGGATCCAGGGCATGTGGCGAGGGGCCTTGAGGATCCTGCAGCTCCCCAGAGCCCTGTAAGTCTGATGGGGTCTTCTGATTGCTTTGGGGAGTGGCGGTTGGGGGTGGGGATCTGAAATATGGATGCAGAGACCCAGGCCAGCCCCAGAGTCTCCTTTCCTCACCTCTGACACGGTAAAGGACTCTTTCCTTTAGCATTTTTTGTAAGGCAGGTCTATTCACAATGAATTCCATCAGCTTTTACTAATCTGGGAATACCTTAATTTCTCCCACATTCTTGAAGGATAATTTTCCCAGCTAGAGAATTCTTAGTTGACAGGCTTTTTCTTTTCTTTCTTTTTTTTAATTAACATATAGTGTATTATTTGTTTCAGGGGTACAGGTCAGTTTTACACAATTCACAGTGCTCACCATAGCACATATCCTCCCCAACGTCCATCACCCAGCCACCCCATCCCTCCCACTCCCTCCACTCCAGCAACTCTCAGTTTATTTCCTGAGATTAAGAGCCTCTTATGGTTTGTCTCCCTCTCTGGTTTCATCTTGTGTCATTTTTCCCTCCCTTCCCCTATGATCCCCTGTCTTGTTTCTCAAATTCCTCATATCAGTGAGCTCATATGATAATTGTCTTTCTCTGATTGACTTATTTTGCTCAGCACAATACCCTCTAGTTCCATCCATGTCATTGCAAATGGCAAGATTTCATTTTTTGATGGCTGCATAATATCTCATTACACCACATCTTCTTTACCCATTCATCTGTTGATGGACATCTTGGCTCTTTCCATAGTTTGGCTATTGTGGACATTGCTGCTATAAACATTGGGGTGCAGGTGCCCCTTCGAATCACTACATTTGTATCTTTGGGGTAAATACCCAGTAGTGCAATTGCTGGGTCATGGGTAGCTCTAGTTTCAACTTTTTGAGGAACCTCCTTACTGTTTTCCGGAGTGGCTGCACCAGCTTGCACTCCCACCAACAGTGTAGGAGGGTTCCCCTTTCTCCACATCCTCACCAACATCTGTCATTTCCTGACTTGTTAATTTTAGCCATTCTGACTGGTGTGAGGTGGTATCTCATTGAGGTTTTGATTTGTATTTCCCTGATGCCAAGTGATGTTGAACACTTTTTCAGTGTCTGTTGACCATTTGGATGTCTTCTTTGCAGAAGTGTCTGTTCATGCCTTCTGCCCATTTCTTGATTGGATTATTTGTTTTTTGGGTGATGAGTTTGATAAGTTCTTTATAGATTTTGGATACTAGCCCTTTATCTGATATGTCATTTGCAAATATCTTCTCCCATTCTTGACAGGCTTTTTCTTATAGCACTTTAAGTATGTCATCTCACTGCCTTCTGGCCTCCATAATTTTTTTTTTAAAGATTTTATTTATTTACTTGAGCGAGAAGGAGAGAAAGAGTGAGCAAAAGAGAGAGAGCACAAGCAGGGGGAATGGCAGGCAGAGGGAGAGGGAGAAGCAGGCTCCCTGCTGAGCAAGGAGCCCAATGTGGGGCTCTATCCCAGGACCTTGGATCATGACCTGAGCCGAAAGCAGATGCTTAACCGACTGAGCCACCCAGGCACTCCTGGCCTCCATAATTTCTGATGAGAAACTCGTCTTATGAAGTATCACTTGTACATAACAAGTTGCTTCTCCTATGCTATTTTCAAGATTCTCTCTTTAGCTTTTGACAGTTTGATTTTTTTTAAAGATTTTATTTATTTATTTGAGAGAGAGAATGAGATAGAGAGAGAGCATGAGAGGGGGGAGGGTCCAAGGGAGAAGCAGACACCCTGCTGAGCAGGGAGCCCGATGCGGGACTCGATCCCGGGACTCCAGGATCATGACCTGAGCCGAAGGCAGTCGCTTAACCAACTGAGCCACCCAGGCGCCCTTGACAGTTTGATTATAATGTGTCTTGGCATGGATCTCTTTGAGCTTATCCATCTTGGAATTTGTTGAGCTTCTTGGATGTATAGATTAATGTCTTTCATATAATTTGGGGGAATTTTTGAGTATTATTTCTTCAAATAATCTCTCTGCCCCCTTTTCTCTCTCTTTCCCTCTGAGATTCCCATTCTGCATATGTTTATACATCTGATGCATCCACTGGTCCCTTAGGCTTATTTTCCTTCATTCTTTTTTCTTTCTGCTCTTCGGACTGCATAATTCTATTTGACTTATTTTCAACTTTGCTGAGGTTCTTCCTTGTGCCTGCTCAAATCTGCCCTCTAGGGAATTTATGAATTCAGTTACTGTACTTTTCAGCTCTGGAATTTCTACTTGGTTCCTATTTTATTTTATTTTATTTTAAAGTAAGCTTTACACCCTCCGTGGGGCTCGAACCCATGACCCTGAGATCAAGAGTCTCATGCTACACCAACTGAGCCAGCCAGGTGCCCCTCTACTTGGTTCCTTTTTATAATTTCTATGCTTCTATAGATATTTTCTATTCATTGAGGCATCATTTTCTTGATTTCTTTTAGTTTTCTGAGCATATTTAAGATAGTTGAATTAAAGTCTTTGTGTAGTGAATCCAATGTCCGTACTTGCTCAGGGAAGTTTCTGTTAAAATTTTTTTCCCCTTGTGGGCCATACGTTCTTGTTTATTTGCATGCCTGATACCTTTTTGGTTGGAAACTGACCAATTTGAGAATTTTTATTTTTATAAAGATTATATTATTTTTTTGTGCTGGTCTCTTAAATCTCCATTTCTTTTCCTTAATGCTCTGACATTTTTGGTATGATAATGTGATAACTCTGAAAACCAAATTCTCCATCCTCTCTAGGATTGGCATTGTTGCTTGTTGTGGGCTGCAGCTATCTGCTTGCTTAATTACTGTTTCAAAAAATTTTTGCAGACTGTTTTCTTTGTGGTCACTGGAGTCTCCATTATCTCGGTGGTTAGCTAGTGACCTGACATTGAATTCCTTAAACTGCTGGGGCCAACCCCCCCCCTTTTTTTTCTAAAGGAAGAAAAAGAGAAAGAAAAGAAAAAAGAAAAAAAATCTCCAACATTCCATAGATTGGCTCTGTATTGGGTCAGTCCTTCTGTGCTTAGCCAGTCCATTTACGGCTCTGCCTTAGCCTCACTTCCTGCTTGCACTGAGCTGAAAAATCATCCATAAATGAAAACTTATGATCTTCTCAGGTGTTTTCTCAGCATGCATCCTGCCCTGGGCATGTGTGTGGCTTTCTAGTTCCCTAGTGTGTGGGGGACTTTTCCTTATTCCCCCCAAATCTCACTTCCCAACTTTTCCTCCCAGTCTTTCCATGCATTTATTGTTTGCTCCAACTGTTATTTTTGCTCATTCTTTCATCTTGCAATGTTTTGAGGGACTGTTCTCTAGCATAGCTGTTCTGCCCTGAGAGAGTTCCAAGGTAAGTGAAACAAAGGGAAGCCCTTTTTGTTAGTCCTTTGGGGGAAACCCTAGATAGTCAAAACAACAAACACAATTCTTTGGGAACAAGATCTGCTCAGCTCCCTCCAGAGCCAAGTATCCCCACCAGAAATGTGGGCTCTTGTCTTCAAGACCACCTCTGTGCTGGGGAGGAGGTTGGGGCTGGGGTAAGTTAAAACACCACAAAGATCTCAACATATTTAAGTTGGCTTTCTCCCAGTGAAGCATTCACTTGGTTGCTGTAAGCCTTTGACTGTACTCCAGAATTCCAGGAAGGTTGATTCTGACCATTTTTGCCAGATGTTTCTGGCAATAGACAGACTCCCAGAGTTCCCTCCTCTGCCATTTTTGTGGATGTCACCTTGCTTTGCCATTTTAAACTGGGTGATTAGCGTTTTATTATTGAGGGTAAGAGTTCTTTAAATATTCTGGATACAAGTCCCTTATCAGATAGATGAATTAAATTTTGTACTATGAGAATACACTGTGTAATTTTATTTTATTTTTTTTTTTATTTTTTTTATTGTTATGTTAATCACCATATATTACATCATTAGTTTTTGATGCAGTGTTCCATGATTCATTGTTTGTTCATAACACTGTGTAATTTTAAAAATAATAAAATAAAATAAAGATCTATGCAAGGTTGCAAATCTGCCTGGTGGTGCCCAAGAGTTACTGGAAATAGTCAACCTTCTCATCAGGGTGTGATTTGGGCCAGTTTCTTTCCCCATCCACCAGTGGACATCTCCTTTCTTCCTCCCTCCTTCTGGTAGGGATTGCCCCCTGCTGCAGGTGTTGGCTGGTAAGGTTATTGGTGAGCAGGTGGAGGGTTCTCTGCCCTGGATTGTCTCACGGCTCCTGGAAGGAAACAACTACAGCGGACTTCTTCTTCGCCTGGACCCTCAAGGTGGCCTGGGCGGGGAGGGTGTGGGGTTCTTGGGGGAAGCTCTGGGATATGACTTATGCCTGACGCACCCTCTTACCAAATCAGCTGCAGCCCCAACCGCAGTCCAGAGAGAGCCTAACCCTCTGGGAGGGCCAGGATTCAGAAAGGTCCCAGGATGGTTAGGTTGCCAAAGTCTTCAGAGGCCGGGCCAATAGAAAAGCAACCCCTCACCCTTCAGAGACTTTCAACAGTTTACCACGTATTTTTATACTAATGCCTTTTATTCTTACCACAAGCCCATGAGACACATCTAAGTTAGATGAGGAAAGAGAGAGAAGCCTAATTTATAAATGAGGAAAGGGAGGATCAAAGGAGGGAAAGAACTTGCCTGTTTTCACACACTTATTAAAAATCCGGCCTCTGTGAAATGGTATGACGTCAGAGACGTGGGGGGGTTCAAGTGGAGGGTATAGATCAAACAAGAATGGTCAAGAGTTGATAATTATTGAAGCTGGGTGATAAATAGATGGGTTTCCTGTACTTTGTATATGTTTGAAATTTTCTATAAAATAATAATAATAATAATAATAATAATAATAATAATAATAAAAAGAGCCTGGCTCTCTGTCTCCAAAACTAATGAACACACATTAATTTGGCTAATATGCTCCCAGACCACGCACTGTACCAAGGCCTGTGGAGAGAGGAGGATAAAATAGGGCAGTTCATGCCCTCAAGGATAAAGCAGTGAAGGATAAAAGTGTGTTTATCCACTGGCCAGTTTGGTATCATGATTAAGGGCCCAGGCCTTAATGTCAGACAGAACTGGACTTAAGTTTCAGCTCTGCTACTCACCAGGAAGTTGCTTGACTTCTCTGAGCTTCATTTTGCTTCATCTGGAAAATGTGGGGGTAAGACAAATTAGAGTTGCTGCCCCATTGGAGTGTTATGTGGATAAAAAAAGAGAATCCATGAAAAGCCTTGGCACAGTGCCATCAAGCACATGTAAACGCCTGGTAGGTATTAGCTATTTTTATAAATAATAAAAATTACAAGTATTACAGGCAGCGTGCTTTGGAATCCAGAAGGAGTGATTCACTCTGAATCTCCCCTCACTAGGTGGCTCCCTGAGCTTGCTCTGGGCTGCTCTGTTGGGGGCCGAGAGAAGGAGGATGCAGGTGAAACAGGTGAGGCCCACCCTGTGGGATGCTGTAGCGGAGGCCCAGGCCCGCCGGGCTGGCCTGAAGAGCCTGCGTTCAGGCCTCCTTGGAGACAGCCTGACAGACAGTGGGCTCAGCCAGTTGGGCAGGGCATTGCGAGAATTGCAGGTAAGCAAGGTGAGGCCTGGAGGTGCCTGAGAGAGCAACAGCTGGAGCCTACCCTGAACCCTCTCTCCATAGGTGGTAAAAGCCTGGAGCCGGCACCCAGGACACCGGATGCTCGAAAGGGTAAAAGCTGAGGCCGTGGGGCTTCCAGAACTACAGGTAGGTCTTCCTGTTCAACCTCTTAGGAGCCCCATTGATGTCTGCCTTCTTCTCCTGTTTAGAGAGCACTATGAGGAGGCCCTTCCTTCATTCACTAATTTATTGATTCCCAGACATTTATTGACTTCTCACTATGTGTTAGGCACAGTGCTATGTAGACCCTGGGAAATCCCTGTCCTCATGGAGTTTATAGTTTCTGGAAAGAAACCATTATAACCCCATGATCAGTGCTCTGAAGGCCTTATCAGCACAGGGTTCTATGGGGCGTCTAAGTTAGTCTTGGCAAGAGAAGGAGGGAACATTTCATGGAAGTTGATTCCTGAAGGAGGTGGCCAGGAAAAATGAGTGAAGAACATTCCAGGTACGGAAGATAACAGGCAAAGTCTCAGAAATAAGTAAGAGCTTGATCTCTTTGGGAGACTGCAAGCTGCTCATTTTGCTGGAGCATAGCTTGAGGAAGAGTCAAGAGAGAAGGATTAAAGAGTGAAGTAGGGGCCAGGTCATAAAGGGCTTTGTAAATTCATTAGAGATGTTTGGACTTCATCTTGAAGGGGAAACCATAGAATTTTTTTAAGCAGAGAAGACAACATTGCTTACATTTTTCAGGTGAGCAAACTGAGGCTCAGAGAAGGGATCTAAGTATCTCAGGGTCACTGATATAATCAAAGGTAGCAGAGGGGCAAACATACCCTAGTCTTTAGACTCAATATGGTATTTTTGCATCCGTTTAGAATGCATGGCCTCTCCTGTGCAGAAGAGGGCACTGTCTTCCAGGATTTGCCGCAGTGTGGCTGGAGTGCTGCTCCTGTCCGCCTCTGGGTCCTTCCCTTTTTGTAATTACTTGTTTTTACAGCCCTGAGTTCTGGGAATTAGGCACGTAAGCTCCCAGTTATTGAGCAGTGCCTGCCACTTGTGCTTTGGGTGCCTTGTCTTATTTCATGCTCTCTACAAATTTCATCAGCTCTATTTTACATGGATTCAAAAGACTAGTCACCTGCCTGAGGTCACACAGTTGAGGAGAGAAAGGGCTGGGACCCCGATCTGTCTGATTTTAAAGCCCTGAGCTCAGCTCACACTATCCTGGGAGGAAGGGTATGGAATTCTCACTCCTACAATATTCTCAGCAGGTGACAGATTCAACAGCAAGCCACAGCCCAGGCTTCCAGGGAGAGCCCAAAGGTGGGTTTGGGGCTTGGGGTGGAGCTGGGTGTCTTCTCCACCCTTACTGGGCTTAACTGCGTTTTCTTCCAGTGGTAGGAAAAACAGCATCTCTAGGAACTGGGCTCCACCAAAATCATCCTCTTAGGGACTCTGAGGAACAGGTAATACCTCGTGCCCCAGAACAGCTGAAGATGTTGGGGGAGTGGAGTTGCAGAGCCCAGTTAATATGTCTACTGCTTCCCTGCCCCAGCATCAGGGAGAAATATGGAGCTTCTGGCAAAAAGAAGACCCAAAAGCCTATGTGATTCCTAAGGGAGGGGCACGGGAAGGCTATTTTGCTACTGGGTCACATTAGGGGCATAGGATCCTTCAGGCCTCCATGGCACCTATTGGCAGAGCCAATACCTCTCCTTTCTCCCTATGACCTCCAAGTGTCTGTCCAGGCTCCTGGCTCTTACAGGCCAGTTAGGTCCTGGATGCGCTCTAGGAGCAGCCCTGGTAGTGAGGTTTTGTTGAAAAGTTGGACCCTGAGTCCCAAGGCTGTGAACACACATGGGCTTCTGGCTGAGTCTAGACTAATGCCACCTAGCCCTGGCAGGTCCCAGATGTGGCCCTGCAGTTCTTCTTGGCCCAGGCACAGAGGAAGAGACTGCACGAACAGCACCAAATATGGATCCAAGAGGAACTGAAGCATTTGGAACAGGAGGAGGAGGTGGCAGGTGACCAGGTCAAAGGCCTGGGGGCTGGAGAGGAGGTAAGGAGGGTCAAGTAGGGAACCTGAGGCTTCTTCTAATTGGTCCAGGCACTGTGCTAGGGGCTGGGATCCAGCCTCAGTCACAACAGAGTGGGCCATACCCTCTCTCCTGGTCCTCACAGCTTTGTGGGGGACAGATGAAGCCATTTTCAGTGCTAAAGTGCTGTGATGAAGGGAGCTAAGGGCTTGCGGGAACAGAGAGGTGTGCCAGACCCAGGCTGGAGTGGATCACAGACAATGACATTAGCTGAGACAAAAAAACAAATCAGCCAAAGGAATTCACAGGGCTGAGCTCTGCTTGGGCAGTCTGTACTTATCACATAGAGGCAGAGTACATATAACTTGTTTGAACAAATTAAGAAACAAAACTTGTGTCTGTGGGGATGTTCTGAGGACAATACTATATGAGCAAAAGTCCAGAGGGAAGCAGTGGCAAAGTAGTCTGGGTATTGCAAATCGTCCATCTGGTGGGGCCTGGCAGGTGCAGGGTCAAAGGCGAGGCTAAAGAGACCAGTGTGTGCCATGCCTCTGATTTGGACTTTACCCTAAGAATGACAGTGAACCACTGAAAGGCATGTGTCATCTCAGTTCTGCCTCTCACTAGCCATGTGAATTTGGCAAGGTTAGGTCCCTTCTCTGATACACAGTTTCCAGATCTATCTACCAGATTTGGAAAACTAAAATGGCAACTACCTCATATGGTTTTCATTCGATAAAATGAAATAACACACATGAAGTGTTTAGAACAGAGCCTGGCACACAGGTGGCACTGAACAAAGACTATGCATTATCACTGAAGGCCTCCAAGAAGAGGCAGAGATGGCCCCGGGAGCAGACGGTGCTGAGACTCCAGCTGGAGGCCCTTCAGGCAGAGCAGAATACTGCAGAGCGGGACCTCGCAGCCCTCTATGACCTGCACGTGCGGGCTGCCCGAGCTCAGACACGCCATATGCTGCAGGTCAGTGAGGTCAGAAGGCAGGCCTTGAAACGGTTCTGAGGCTGACTGACTGACAGACATCTCTGAACCTGGGCACAGGTATTCCGAGCCTGGCGAAGGCTGTGGGAGGAGCAGGCCATGACCACGGAGCATCACCACCGAAGCCTGCTGGCTGGTGTCCTGCAAGACAACATCAACCTGGCCACGCAGAACCAGGAGCTCCAAGCCCAGAACCAGCAGCTTCGGCAGGGAGTAGAGTAGACTGAGGCCAGTCATTGCCGGATTACTGCCCTGGGGAGAAATCTGATCAGTAATCCTGCAAGGTCGGCTTCCTTTCTCTTCATTATTAAGGGGCCTAGAAGGGAGAGGGAGATGGGACTCAATAACCAGGCTAAACTTCGTTATCGATAAATTAACACTACTACTAAACCAGGTCTCACTGTGTCAGTCCCTGTTAAGCACCTAATATCCACAACTTCATTTTAGCCTTTCCCACTACCCTATATAGTGATAGGTGCCATTTGACCCCCATTTCAGAGGTAAGGCAACTAAAGCTTGGAGAGGTTAAGTAACTGCCTGAGGACAGTCAGCTAATAAGTGACAGAGCCAGAATTCAAATTCAAGCCTGGTTGGCCATAGTTCTACACTGCACATAGTAGTTCACAAGATGCAGTGTGCATTGGAATCATTTAGAGAGCTTATTAAAGAACAAGAAAAAAGAAAAAAAGATTCCCAAACCCTACCCTACTTCCTAAGATTCTCCAAGAGGTCTCACTTTTTTTTTCTTTTTAAAATTTTTTTTAAGTTTACTAGGTATTCTCCCATGGGAGCAGGGCCTCATGTTCCTCTGGCCATGAGGAGAGATGACAGGAAGGAATATCAATGAGGGAACCAGCGGAAATGAGAATCAAAACCCTACTGAACCCATGAGTTCTCTAGCCTAAAATCTAGTTTGTCCTGCCAGGCCCAGTACCTTCTATTCCCAAGAATCCCTCCAAATTCCCCAGCGCCCCAGTTTGTGCTTCAGAGAAATTTGGAGAGTTCTACGACAGAGAACAGTCTCCACTCCCTGGGTCCCTAAAGGAAATAATGCTCCTGGCAACAACTAGGAGAAAACAGTCTTTCCTCCTAGTCTGTAAGTTACTCCAACATTAAGACATTCAGGGCACTAGCGGAACAAAATTACGTTTGAGTGAAGATACACAACACGGAAGACACAGGACCACCATAGCCAATTGCAGGAACCACCTGCACCCCAGAACACTTTATTAAGACTTTATTGCTTACATAGAGACACTGATTGAGCTACACCAAATTTCCCTGTGCCTGGTTCCAGGTCACTCTGGGTAGAGCTTCCCTAAACTGTAAAGAGCTGGGACACTGCTAGGCAGGGGCAGGACCCAGAGTGAGAAGAATGGTACCTCCTAGGAGCTGTAGAGGGGGCAGTGGGCTTGGAGAGGGGCCTTGGAGTGAGCAGAGAGGTCAGGAGTGTAGCCTTAAGCCAGGGCCCAGGGGCAACATTCCCTGAGATGAGTCAAGCTCCAGTCCTCTCTGGGGTTTCCAGAACAAAGGCTGGGTGGGTGTGGAGAGCAGCATGGTGGAGGGAGCATGGAGCACTGTCTCCAGGTGTTGCTGGAGCTGGGGGAGCTTAGAAGAGTGGCCTGGGCGATCGGTATAAAAGCTGTGGCAATCGGGCTTTCCTGCATTACAGTGAGGGGTGAATGTCTCTAATGGGGGGAGTCATGTACCAAAGCTGGGCTGGAGTAGCCCGCACCAGGCCTGGACGCAATGGGTCTGCTGGGGTGACCACAGGAGGCAAGGAAAACCAACTGGTGCCCATACCCCACTTGAAACAACTGCATTCATGCAGGGTGAGGCAGGGAGCCTCCTCCATTCGGGGTGAGGTCATTTCTAAGGCCTAGGTATTGATGCTTCCCCAATTCCTTAGAGTGTGGATGGACTTCTGGGAAGTTAAGTTTCTTTAATCAAACCCAGTCTTTAAGTCTCCTGGGGTAACCCTTCATTCACCCACCTCCAGAGACTAACCTGGCTGCTCTCACCAACCCCTCTTGTCACAAGGCACTTGTTACAGGGCTGGCTGCTGAGGAAGGGTCCGGAGGCCTGGGAGGTGGCTCTCATGATCGTACCCAATCTACAGGGTCAGGAGTCTGGGTGGAGGTGGTCAGGGGCTAGCAGCTGCCATAATACAGGCGCACAGCCAGACCAATGAGCAACGTGGCCAGGAAGAAGGCAGCAGTGAGCTGTAGCCGCAGCAGGGCTGCCGAGAGCACAGCATTGACCACCAGTGAGCAGGACACAACAAACAGGCGTGTGATGCTGCTGCCATGCTTCATGACGGCTGACATGAGCAGTCCATTTAGTGCCTGGCTCAGCACCACAAGCGCTGCCCATCCGGAGAAACCCTCCAGGAGGCCCGGGCCAGGGCCACCACCTGCATGTAGACCTAGATTCAGGAGCACACCAAAAGTGTAGAGGAAGAAGTTCTGAAGTGCTAGGGGCAGCCTCTGTCGCTTCATAAGCAGTTCTGTGTACACAGACGACAGGCCCGAGATGAGGCAGTACAAGATGAGAAGCAGCAGTCCCAGTGGAGTGATATGCAGGGGCATAGGGCCAGCAGCAGCTGCTGAAGGGGGTCCAGGAAGGGTGTTCCCAGGGTCCTGGAGGCCACCAGCTGCATAGCAGGCCCCCGCTGCCATCAGCAGCAGCAGTGCTAAGCCCTGGCGTGCAGAGAGGCGGTGCCGGAGACACAGGCAGTAGAACAGGGCCGTGCTTCCAATCTTGAGATTGCTCAGCACCTGGTAGGTGCTGGGGTCCATGTAACGTTGAAGATAGATCACCAGGTTGTTGTTAGCTCCGTACAGTAGGGCTGATAGTGCAAAGGGGGCAGCCTGGCGCCATGGTGGGGCCCCCTGGGGCCATGCTTGCCAGCCCACCAAGAGGGAGAAGGCGCACAGCAGTAGCTTGGTCAGCTCAGTCAGCAGCACGGCCGAGGAGGGCCGGAAGGGCACTCTGCCGTTCACATGGCACAGTGCCAGCAATGGGGCATGGGCGCCATACATGGCAGTGGACAGGAGTAGCATCAGGGTCCAGCGGGCCTGCCTGGGACGGCCCAGGCCTGGCGTACCCCCGTCCTCTACACTCATGCCCAAACCAGCCCCTGGGTAGTCTGTGTAGCTAGCAAGGAGGCAGTGGGAATTGTAACAAGTTTGGGGAAAATCAGTACGGAGCCAGCTTGCAGGAGGGAGGAGCCGTGGTACATCGCTAGAGAGAATACTGAGAATCAGAGTCAGCTGCAAACCCCACAGTCAGGGCTGGAAGAGGAAGGGGCTGGTGGCCCTAGAAGCCACAGTCTCAGGGCCAGTCCCATGGGGTTAAGGAGGGGCGTCCCATCTGCTGGCTGATAAGCCACTGTTTACCCTCTGCAGGAAGGAAAGCAAGGATGAAGACTGTGGGCAAGTTGCAGATAGCAAAAGGGTGATAGGTGGGGAAGCCAAATATGGTGTCTGTGGTTGAAAGGCCTCTACCTGCAGGCCCGAGGTGCTCATCCTTCCTTCCCCATGGGATCCAGAGCTAGTCAGGCCCTTTTCGCAATGACTGAAGATAGTCCCTCAATGTCTTCTCCACATTGGGCACGGCATATGCCTGAGCTGCGTAGATGCCAGTGCAGGTACCAACAGCAAAGCCCAATACTGCTGATGCCCTCAGTTTGGCCACCACATAGCCGGCTAAGAAGCCCTTGAGGAATGGGGAGGACATGAGCGAGCCATCCTGTGGAGCAAAATGAAGGAGAAAACTCAGCCAGGGTCTCCCTTCTCTATCCAGGGTCTACTCAAGCTCGCCCTAGAGCATCCCACCACCCCCTCCTCCTTACTCTAAAAAGCTGCAGTATTCTCTCCAAAGATTCTTTCAAGGTTCTAGAGGCAGAAAAAGAACCTAGAAGTCCTGATCACACAATCTCAGAACCCTGTGGTTAGAAGACTCCAACCACAGAACCCTACGACCACAAAGCTACAGAGATGTCCCTGAGGAATCTGACCCCTGCTGGCTTTTCCAGCATCACTTCCCATCACGCTCCCCATTACTATAGCCAAACTAAGTTATTGTCACTCCCCATGTTCATCATGCTACCTCCAACCATGAGAGCTTTGCATATGTTGTTCCATCTGCCTGAAATGTTCTCTTCTCTCCTCTTTACCTAGTTAACTTCTATTTAAGATGCCAGTTCAAGTGTCGTTTTCTTAGGGAAACTTTCCTTGGGGGTCCCCAGAGAACTGGCCCTCAATAACCATTTGCTGAATAAATCTCTATTACCCATTCAGAAGTGTACAGGGCAATGCAGCCCAAGGGTGGGTTGCAGGGGGAGTGGTAGGCAGGTGCAACTTTACCTGGCTCACACCACTGCTGACTTCGTCTTCCACACGCTGCTGCAGGCGTTCCAGCTGGTTCTTGAGAAATGCCAGGTCCTTAAGCTTGGGCAGAGAATCCTAGAACAAGAAAGAAGCCAGCTCCAGCAGGTTAACGCAGCCTTATTCTCTGTTCAGGTCTATCAGAGGCTGGGTGGGTGGGGGTGTGAGCATGAGAAATCTCTTATAAAAACTTCCTGCGATGATGGTGGTAATGAAAAAAAAAAAAAGACATTCAAAAGTGAATTCACAGGGGTGCCTGGGTGCTCAGTCGTTAAGCGTCTGCCTTCGGCTCAGGTCATGATCCCAGGGTCCTGGGATCGAGCCCCGCATCGGGCTCCCTGCTCAGCAGGAGGCCTGCTTCTCCCTCTCCCACTCCCCCTGCTTGTATTCTCTATCTAGCTATGTCTCTCTCTGTCAAATAAACAAATAAAATATTTTTAAAAAAAGTGAATTCACACGGGGGTCATGGAGGGGGTGACAGATGGGATCTGCATCTGTGACAATCCTTACAGAATTTTATATAGCAAGCAGTGTGTAGAGAGGCAAAAGACACAGCTAGGATACCTTCAGCTGGATTTATCAGGCTGACTGACTCGACTATAAGCTACATGAAAGTGGCAACCAGTCCGTCTTGCCTACTGGGTCCCCAAGCCTAACACAAAAACTGTTAAGTACTTAGTAAATGTGCAGATGGTGCTAAACTTAAGACCAGTCGGTGAATAATGGCCTGAGGCACTTCCCTGGACGCTCTGGGGTAAACCTGATTTCTGCCTGGGCTTCCCAAACTGAATGTGTGCCTGGATGCGCTAGCTGGGGTGGGGGTGAGGGGTGGCTGTCTGCAGGAGTGTGGGTAAATGAACTAAGTGGCTCTGATCACCTCAAAGTATAAAATTCAGTGTTGTGCGCAAGAGAGTTTGAATGAGAATGTCCGTGTCCGTGTGGCTTGGAAACATCGTGTTTCCAGGAGGGAAATTTCGGGGGGCTAGGGAATGCAAGAGTGAGGAGTA